CCGAAGCACCGAGGTCTGGAATCTGAGGTGTCCTCCCTCTCGTCGGATCCCCTCCGAAACTCCGATGCGGTTACGTCGTTGCCCGATAGGGTGACAAGGATAGTTGATCGATCCGTACCTACATAGGTCAAGTAGTCTTCAAGAGATATTGCAGCCACTTACATGTTCCTAATTATCCCGAGGCACACTCGAGAGACTGTCGTCCTGGAATGTGACAGTCGAGACACATACTTGGCACTCGAATCGGGGCGTGAGGTCTTGGGGAAAGCAGCAATAATTCATCTGCCCTCTCGTCGTTAACATACCGCCTGCGAGGCTGCGACTAGCCGACACCTTTGAACTGCGACATCGCAAAGAAATTCTTCGAAGTGACATACTTCTTTCATAATAAATTGGAAACAACGGCGCAGATGCCAAACACCATTTCTGGGTGCTTTGGAGCTCTCCCACCCATCTCCAATCTCCACCTCCGGTAGTTCGCCGCGGCATGCTCTATGACTAATACGCTTCAATGCGAAGATCGAATTCGGACTTACCTAGCTGCGAACATAGCCACATAATATGACTTCGATCACGATCTAATTATCATTTTCATACTCCGTCGTGGTCATAATTTGCGTGGCATGCTCCTATGATACACCTCAGATAAGCCGTCAATTTACTCCGCATCCACTGCCTCGAGCATTCTCTGTTCCTTCGAGTAGGATACAGTAGCCCTTCAGAGCTAAGTAGCAGAGTTTTGTCCTCGAGCGAAGCAAATGCTACCAGAACACCTTCCAGAACAATGCATGATGGTTTAGGTGATTTGTGAAGTTAACAACGGAAATTGGCGTGGGGAGGATTTATGAACTATGCAGAAATGAGTTTTTGGGAGAGGACAGTATTAACCGATCAGTTAGAGACTAGAATTCAAGCAGGAATAGGAGGTTACTTGAATATTGCAGATGTGAAGGAAGTAGCGGAGGATCAAACACAATGCCTCACGTCTCGGACGCTCTGATATTACGCTCAAGCAGCATAGGTCGCAGAAGAAGAAGCAGATTGCATCTTCCAGTCGTATTCTGACACCGTCATTGGTTAGTTGTATCACAATTAATGGTGAATGTGCTTGCCATATTCCTAAACACGCTCAGATCTCTCTTCAATCACCCACGTCTTCTCAGGGGGGTCGATCATGCGCTCCAAAGACTCTCGCCGAGGCTTCGCCTTCCAAGTCGTGTACCACGGACCCTCGAATAGATCTTCAATCTGATCCATATGAACGCCCTTTGTCTCGGGTGCCCACAGACCAAGTACAATCAACCCAACGAAACAGATCGAAGCCCAGAAGACATAAGCGCCCCAGACATCTAGAGCCGCAAACAAGTTGGGCGTGACGCGGACGACAGCGAACTGGAAGAACCAGTGCAGCACCATGTTGATGGACACGCACACACCACGGATTCGGGTCGGGTAGATCTCTGTGCTGTACACGAACGGGATTGTACTGTACAAGTATTAGCAAATCTGGCGACATTAAACCACACAATTCCATGATGACCTACCAAAGACCAATAGACCACCCAACAGCATACACGAAGACAGCAGCGATTGCAGCATCGGAAGCATGCTTATTCGTCCCGCTCATGAAAAGCGCCATGTATATGGCTAGGTACACATGTGCGATGAACTGCAGAAACAGACCACCCAAGGAACACTTCCGACGACCGACATTATCAACAAGCACCCAGGTGAATATCATGACGAAGACGAGCTTTACGATACCGTACGCGCCGCTCGTGATGAGTGAGGTATCGGAGCCCTTGACGCCGGCGTATTCGAAGATGGTGGGAATGTAGTATGTGATGCCGTTTCCACCGGACCACTGGGCGATCGTTTGAACAGCGACTGAACGCACATTGTCAATAATGAAGAGTTCAGGAGTAGTGGATGAAACTCACCTCCGAACAAAAGTCGCATCCTGAAAGTGCGAATCGTAGCAATCTCCTTGATGATTTGCCAGCTAGTGACCCCATCAAGCGCCTTCTGTTTCTCCCTCATACTCTGCTGCAACTCCTGAATCTCCAGTGCAACAGCATGGCCATTATTTCCGCCCCTAAGCTTTGAGAGGACAGACACCGCATCTTCCACACGATCCTCAGCCGCAAGCCACTTCGGCGTATCATTCAGAAAGAACGACAGCAGTAGCGCAAGACCCGTAGGAACAAGTACAATCGCAACAACAAGTCGATATTGTACCCTCGTATCAGGAAGTCCTTCTCCAGCCCCAAAGCTAATGAAGAACCCGATCGAGAGAAACGTGAGGAGGACCACCATATAGACACTAGTCACGGCGCCTCTGGACCTCGCGGGCGCAATCTCAGATAAATACAACGGCGTGACGACGGTCAGACCACCGGCTCCCAGCCCACCCCAGATCCGCGCAAACAGCATCAGGCCGAGGATGCCAGAGGAGAAAGTCTGGAGTAGGTTACCCGTCATCCACCATATCATCGATAACTGCCATGTACGCAACCGACCCAGACGATCGCATGTCGCGGCTACGAGGATAGAGCCGATTGCTGCGCCGAGGACGCCGAAGGATGAGATGTTTGCTTTTCTGTTTGCGAGCCCGACTGTGTCGTCGCCCCAGTCTGATGCGTTTAGGCCGAAGTCAGACCTGAATGAAGCGAGGCCGGTTGCTGAGCTGAATCCTCCTTCATCGTAGCCTAGTCGACAAATGTTAGTGTGGTAAATTGAGATGTGTGAGGTTGGGAGATATACCTTTAGGAATTGAGCCGCAGGCTATCACGCCTATCGTGAAGATATAGTTCCAGTTAACATTGGACGACGGCATGTTAATGAGTGGCTGGAGGCTCTACGTTGCTTGATTTGAGCCACCAGGCCTCAATATTGTCTATGTCACTCGTTCGAGAAGCTTGGATGAATAAGCCATCGCTGACATGTTCATGAGCATAAGAAGGATTTAGGTTATCTCCTGCTGACTGACCCCCAAGCACCACCAACGATGAACCAACCGAACGGGATGCGGGGGTTTGTTGGTGGTTCACTGGGGAAGTCTGGGGATAATGCGGGCTAAATTACGAGCCAGTAACCAGAAAGTTGATTCAATTCGATGCGATGTGACGCTACACTGCACTAAAGACGGTCCAGTCGTGTGAGATGAAGACCGATAATCCTCATCGGCGTTTGGTCCGAGGGCGCCGGTGTCAGATCGGCCAGCCTCCGAGGCCCTGTTAAGCCTCATGTCTAAGAACATCTCACGTGCAGTGCACAAGCAAAATGAATGAATGAATTCAATGTCGGAAATCATTCTTATATGATATTGCAATGAGTCGGATATCCGTACAGAGAGACTGGTGAGGTGGAGAGGAAGAAGGCGGGTCATGATATGTAGCGCTGATATATTTAGAGCAGCGGACTCAGAGTCTCAGACGTAGCACTTGACCCTACTTGCATACATGTACATCACACCAATCATCGTAAACCCAAGACCGCAATAATGTCAAGACTCTTCAAACCTCCAACGCGGCATCTCAGCCTCAAACTCATCAACCCAAAGCTCTCACCGCGTCACCCCAAACACCCAATCTCACACATCCCCACCACCCGCCCCTTCACGATGAGCACTCACCACCACACACCCATCCCTGGGCCAAAAATCCCACCTCACTCCTGGGACTCACACATGCACATCCTCGACTCTCGCTTCCCGCTCTCCGCATCCGCATCCTACAAGCCAGCAGACCACACCCTATCCGACGCAATGACCTTCGAGTCCTCAGTAGGCCTATCAAACATCGTCCTCGTGCAGCCGTCAATCTACGGGAACGACAACTCCTGTATCTTCGACGCGCTCAAAACGCTCGGTTCCGAGCGAGCCCGGGGCGTCGTGACGTTCGACCCGGAGACTATGCGCCTGGATGAGTTGGGACACTGGCATGAGCTCGGTGTCAGAGGCGTGAGGATCAATTTGAAGAGTGTGGGGAAGGTCATGGAGGAGCCTGAACTTAGGGAGACGCTGCGATTGTATGCGGATAAGGTAAGACCGCTGGATTGGGTCGTGCAGATTTATATGCCTATGCAGATGGTGCCGCTGCTTGAACGCATTGTTCCGTACCTTGGGGTGAGATTGTGTGTTGACCATATGGGACATCCGCCGCTTGGTGAGCTGGAGGAGTATAAGGCCACGCAGAATCCTGGTACGATACCTGGGTTTGATGCGCTGGTCAGGTTGTTGAAGGATGGGAAGACGTATGTCAAGATCTCGGCGCCCTATCGCTTGAGTACTGTGGAGGATGGGGTCAGTGATGTGGTGCCGATTGCGAGGAAGCTGGTTCGGGAGGCCCCTGACAGAGTGGTGTTTGCTACGGATTGGCCGCATACGAGGTTTGATGGGACGGACATCAGGCCCTGGATTAAGGAGTGCGTGGAAATTTGTGATGGGGACGAGAAGCTGGTTGAGAAACTGTTTAGGGATAACGCTGAGGTGCTGTGGGATGTCAAGCGGGCGTAGAACTGCGTGTATATGTAGAGCTGTAATTAGATTAGATTGTATATATGTATTGATTTCTGTCCACCTACTCCTGTATGTCTGTGCTCTCGTTTCGTTGTTTTTTGGTCAAAAGAGCAGTGACTCTGAGCAGCTATCCATCACTTGAAGTCTATTTATTGCTGCTATTCGCCTCTTAGAAGATCCATTGGACAGTTCAGGAAAAACATAGATGGCAGGCGTTAACAAATCTAGTTTCTACTTAAGCCACCGAAGATAGGCAGCTCTGACGGGTGTGTCTTGGACGTTAGTCTCCTTGTGCTACATACACACAGGCGGGCACTTACAGATGCAATGCACCTACATACCTCGAGCAAACGATTGAAACGCACTCTGGAAGGAGCATGAAGCAGACAAGTGTAGTGTCGCGAAGACAAGATGCAAGAATACACGGCTGAAGTAAAATAGAACGAAAGAAGCTAATGCTGAAAAAAGTGCAAAAGAGAAACTCCGAATCAGGGAATCGAACCCTGGGCTCAGCAGTGAGAGTGCTGAATGTTGACCACTACACCAATTCGGATGACTGCTGATTGATATCAGATGGCCATTTGTTGGTCTACATATCCCACAAACATGTGCGTGTTTGCGAACATTGGGCAGTCACCTCTCCGGCACCTCAGGCAGGCACGCTCCTTCCTCGCCCCGGAGTCCTTCAAGCGGGACAACTTGCTCCGGCTACAGTGAACTGTAGGTACCTAATGCTGGGCTTTTCACTGTTTCGGTTATCCCGTGAGTTTCTGGGACACCCCTCGTCGTTTTGGGAGGTATGAGCTTGGTATATAACACTGCTGGATTCACCAATTTTCTCATGGTGGTTTATGTAGAACTGATTCTATATCCCACTAGCCCTTGGCTACGACCGAACGCAAATTTTAGTGAGCCTAGAACAATCTCGTAGCAATCACGGCACAGGTATATTACCTAGGTATGGTGAACAGCAACTCGTCATCAGTCATTAGAGCTCTATCATTATCTGGCGATCCACAAAGCAATACGCTCATATCCACATATAGACGTGACTCCGGGGTTATTCTACAGTAATCGGGGACGAGTTTCGAGCGAAACTCAAATACAGGGGTATTCTCTCTATATGTCTTTTGACGCAGAGATGCGATGACAGCCAGCACCAAGCGCAATTCGCAAGCGTATTAGCTATACCAACTCCGGGCTCCAGGCCCTTGACTCTTTTCTTCCCTGCGGTGCTCGATGATAGGTTCGGTGATTTCGAAAGTGTTGATGATGTCTTTCCAAGACTTCATGTCAATCGATAGCACGGCTTGATGCCTCTCGGCACTTGTTCTCGTTGTACCAGCTTCTTGAGGATTTGTGGGATCTGTTGTATGTCAATACGATAGTCTCGCTGGGAGGGAGACAGAGGAGTGCACTTACGCAGCGTAGGGAGCTGGTTCGCATCGAACCCGATCTTGACTGCACCGTCTCGTATCAAGAAACTAACGTAGAAAATGTTCTCCACGGTCTGTCCGAACGATTTTGGGTTGATGACGAACTTGAGTAAATCGATACCGCCTTCTTCTCGTAAACCCAACTGCTGCATGAGCTCCACACCTAACTCTTCGTCTTGGTTGAAAGCCTCTTCAACCCTTACCTGAGCCTCTTCTTGGAAGTCTCGCAGCCGTCGTAATATCTTCGCGCAGATGGCAGTGAGGTCATTCTTTTCAGATCGCTGGACATCCTCTGCATTCAAGACTTCTGGCCTCGTTTCCCTGAGGTTGTCTGCCCTGAATGGGGCACTGCGCTTCACCACTTTACGGATCTTCTTTTCCACCGACAACGGCCCCAGGAGGAAGCCTGGAACCGCTGGGCGACTGATATTGGGTAGGCAAGCGAAGCGACCGAGATGCTCCCAGTTCATCATGTCGCCATCGTCGCCAACCTCATCTTCATCCGAATCATCTGCAGCCCTACGGCCGGGCCTCCGCCGTTGCTGCTGGGTGGCCGTAAGCTCTGGGGCATCATCATCTGCAATTCCGATACCGCGGCGCATATAGCTTATGCACTTCGAGACAAACTCATCGACGTCAATTCCTTGTGCGACGTTGCCATGGACGAGACGAGCTGTTCTCCTATACGACGCTTCCGCTGCAGCGACTAGGAGTTTAGAGTCGACGGTGGCTTCACCGGTCTGTTTGACATGACGAGATAGACGGTTCGCCTTCTCTAGGGTCTCTTGCAGGATGAGGGACTTGGGGTCGTTGAACTCGTCGGCGCGCTCATGCAAGCCACGGAGGAGATCTCGGTAGCCTCGCTGGACTTTGCGGCGCTCCTCGAGAGACTGGTCTGGGTCGTAAGCTTCAGCATCGTCGTCGTCGTCGTCGTCGTCTGCTATGATGCTGATATCGCGGGTGCGGCGTCTTGAGGTTGAGGGTCCAGCACCATTTGTTAAAGTCCTTTTTCTTTTGGCAGCACCACTGGGAACTCTGTCTCTAACGACCAAGCTGCAACTTGTCAGCAGCTGGGTTTGAGATGTGTAATGGTCTGTGGTCGATGAATCATGCTGCTGCTGGAAGTTTTGTAAAAAAAAGACAGGGAACTGGCCACTTACTGCATCTCAGTTAGTCATAGAATGGTTTGAAAGAGAATCGAGTCGAGTTGAGGATGTTGGACATGTACATACCACACTCTGCTGGGAAGCCATAGGCGGCGGGGAGGAGCCAGGACTCTCGTCACCTTCAAAGAGTTCCGGCGACGACATGGTGGAACTGCGCGCAGTCAAGATGCGCAAGGATTGCGAGGGTGTCAAATCGCAGCGCGTAGTTGGAGAAGGCCAATTCTGTGACTGTCGAGATCGTTTAATAGTACATGAGGTAGAGGCAGGTATTAGTCTGCTGTTCCCATGAATTTGGCGATAGCGACAGGCGCGTCCGGCAGGCGGATAAGAGCCTCAACACGCGACTTCCAAGATACCCGACGCGCAATTCAGTTGCAGGCGTTAAATTGCCTGTCGAACCCTATGAAGTGGGTGAGGGCCCCCCCGCATCTGTGGTTGCAGGCAGGCACCGCCCTGATTCTAGCGCTCCAGGTCCCGCCCTGGGCCTGGGATGACGAAAGGCGGGTTCTGGGCGGGTATCCAGGCACGATAAGATAAGAACGGCGATTGCCCCACGGGAGCTCCCAAGCTGACGAGCAGGTGAACTGGTGAACCGGTGACCGCATTTCGCATTGTAGGAAGCAGCTGAGTCTGCGTTTGTCTTTGCGACAAAACAACAGCAGCCCCCGTCTTCTCACCCATGCATCCAAACGCGTGGTAAGGACTCAGGCTATAAACATGATATGAATAGGTAGCCTTCTTGAAGTTATTTGAACCTCTCAAGGGCTAAGCTCGCCCAACATGGAGCCCTTCTCCTTTGGAACCTCTGATTCATTGGATTACCCGGTGAGCGTGCGAATGTGAGCTACATGCAGATTCTACTCACGTCCGCCGCGTTGACAACTAATTGGTATCATATGGCAGCATCAATCTCGAGGGCGACGAAGCTCCATATCTATATTCCACCCTTCTCCAGCGCCCCGACCTGCGACACATAGGCTCCAACACCAGTCCCTACTCGGACCTCTATGTCACCGTCCAGGTCTGGTCAGGCTCCAAGCCCTTGACTGTGCCGGTGCAGACATCATACAAGGCTTTTCGGAACGAGCGGAGGTGGAACGAGTGGCTTAATCTGCCCATACCGTATAAGTCCCTGCCCCTCAACTCCTTCCTCGCCATCACATTATGGGACCTGTCACCGACTGGCGGGAAGCAAGCCCAGGGCCACGCCATTCCCTTTGGCGGAACCACGCTACCTCTTTTCGATAGAGACAACCAGCTACAAAAGGGCCGGCAGAAATGTGCTGTTCATAGACACAAACAGGCCGATGGCTTCGACAACACCACAACGCCCTCGACCGTCGCAAAGTCCAGAAACGATGTGAAGCGGAACGGAACAATCGCAGCCGACAAGGAGGCAGAAGAGCTCGAACGCATGGAGAAGCTATTCAAGAAGCACGAAATGAACGAGATTCCTCGTGTCGAGTGGCTGGATCAAATGGTGTACCGCGGGACAGAGAAGCGCGGGCTACAGGCAGCTAGGAATTCAGTCAAGCCCATAACTCAGCGTCAGTCAGCTACACAGCCAGAGACCAATACAGAGCCGGAGAAACCCAATGAGCATGAGCTGGACGATGGCCTTCCTTCAAGACCTGGACTGTCCAAGTTCACCCTCAATATCGAACTGCCACGCTTCGATTTTCCTGTCGTCTTTGCAGATCATGAATACCCGCCACCGCCAATATCGTCTTTTCAACACCTCTCGGCCTCGCAATCCAATATCATTATGAAACCTCCGCCAGAGGTCTCTTATGGACCTGGTATCAATGGTCCCGGCGACGGCGAGCGGATCATTCGTATATACGATCCTGAGGTAGGGGCTCGAGATAATCCTGCAGAGAGCAAACACAGACGCCTTGTGAGAAGCCAGCATCGGCATGGAATTCTGGATAAGGATCTGAAGCCAAATGCCAAGGTTCGTGACGAGCTGAACATGATTATGTCATACTCTCCAACACACATGCTGTCCCCAGAGGAAAAGGACCTCGTGTGGAAATTCCGATACCACCTCACGAAAGACAAGCGTGCCCTCACCAAATTTGTCAAGTCGGTCAACTGGCAAGATCAGAGCGAATCTAGGCAGGCAATCCAAGTCCTGAGCAAGTGGACTGATATCGATGTGGATGACGCTCTTGAATTGCTTGGTCCGACTTTTGATCACCGTGCCGTAAGAGCTTATGCTGTTGACCGACTGAGGAAATCCGACGACAACGAGCTACTGCTCTACCTCTTACAGCTGGTTCAAGCGCTCAAGTTCGAACATATATCAACCGATTCGAGCCAGGCAACTATTCGTGCATCTTCTTTGGCTAATTTCCTCATCTCTCGAGCTGTCGAAAATTTCACGCTGGGAAACTATTTTTACTGGTATCTTGGAGTCGAATACGACGACAAGAGTAATGACCAGGGTGAGGAAGTGCGCACCATGTATGCCAAGGTCCAATACGACTTCATGAAGGAGCTCGAGAGTCGAGTTGGTGGAAAAGACGTGAGAGTGACCATCCGTAGACAGGCAGAACTTGTGGCTGTGCTGTCCAAGGTGTCGGCCGAAATACAGGCCGCTCGAGACTCTTATCCACGGAAACTCGAGAAAGTCAAGGCGTTCTTGGCAGATGCGAAGAATGAGCTCCTGACAATCGATCCGCCAATACCGATGCCTCTGGACCCGTCCGTGATGGTTACTGGAGTTGTACCCGAAGAAACAAGAGTCTTTAAATCATCTCTGTCACCCATCATGGTGACCTTCAAAACGACAACGGGTAGCAAATATCCAATCATTTTCAAGACCGGCGACGATTTGCGGCAAGATCAGTTAGTCATTCAGATCATCACGTTGATGGACCAGCTATTACAGAAAGAAAACCTCGATCTAAAGCTCTCGCCCTACAAGATTTTGGCAACAAGCACAACGG